AAGGAATCAATCTAATGAAGGAGACAAAAGTCCTCTACAGTGAAAAATTAGAGCAGTCTGAAAAAAGAGATGGAAGAGGATATAAGTTGGAAAGACATCCCTTGTTCCTGGGTAGGAAGAAGCAACATAGTGAAAGTGGCCATATTTCCAAAACTTCTAAAGAGATTCAATATAATCCTGATTGAAATCCCAACAGTATATTTCACAGAACTGGAGAAAAAATCCAACATTCATTTGGAACCAGAAGAGACCTAGAATAGCAAAAACCATTCTAGGCAGCAGAGACATGGCAGGGGGGCACCACAATTCTCAACTTGAAACTATACTACAAAGCCACTGTGATAAAAATAGCATGGTACTGGCAAAGAAACAGAACTGAGGATCAATGGAATAGATTAGAAGATGCAGAAACAACACCAGACATACTCAGCTACCCCATCATTGACAAAAGTGCCAACCATCCTTACTGCAGGAAAGATAGCCTCTTTAATAAATGGTGCTGGAAAAATTGGCTTTCAACATGCTAAAGATTAAAATTAGATCCCTATCTTTCACCATGCACTAAACTACAACCAAAGTGGACTAAAGAAGATCTAAATATAAAAAAGCAAACAAATACAATAATAATACCAAAAAAAAAGAAGATCTAAATATCAAAGCAAAAACACTAAACTTACTGGAAAGTAAGGTAGAACTCTTGAAGACAATGGCATAGGAGAAGACTTTATGAACAAATCCTCAGCAGCATGAGAACTTTCACAAAGAATCAGCAATTGGGATCTCATTGTATTAAAAAGTTTTTGCAGTGCAAGAGAAAAAACCAATTGAGCTAAGAGACAACCTAGAATGTGGTGAAAATTTTCACCAGCTGCTCCTCAGACAAAGAACTCCTATCTAGAATATATAAAGAACTCAAAAAAAAAAAATCAGGCACCCAAATACAAAGACCCGATTCAAAAGTGGGCATCCAAAATGAACAGACATTTCTCAGACAAAGAAGTAAAAGCAGCAAATAAATATATGAAAAAATGTTCAACATCACTGGTCATTCAAGAGATGCAGATGAAAACGCTGAGATTCCATCTCAACCCAGAAAGAATGGCTGCTATAAAGAAATCAACAAAAAACAAATACTGGTGGGGATGTAGGGAGAGAGGAACCCTTCTTCATTGTTAGTAGAGTGTAGACTGATGCAACCACTGTAGAAATCAATATGGAGATACCTCAAAGAACCAGGATTAGAGGTTCCATTTGATCCATCTATCCCTCTGCTGGGTATCTTTCCAAAAGAATTAAAAGAATCATACCATGGTGATATATGTGAACCCATGTTTATAGGGGCACAATTCATAATAGCTAAAAATTTGAAACAACCCAAATGCCTCTCAACTGGAGACTGGATAAAGAAGATGTGGTTTTTCTATAAAATGGAGTGCTACTCAGCCATAAGGAATGAGAAACTAGAAACATTTATAGCTAAATGTATGCACATTAAGGCTATACTCCTAAATGAAATAAATAGGACACACCTGAATAAATACTGAATAGTTTCTCTGGTGTGAAAAACCAAAAGTGTGAATAAGCTTCAAATGGTATAATTGAGAGGGTGAAATAGGAAGAAAATGGCTAAAGGGGAAGTGGAAAGGAGAGGGGAAAGGAAATAAGGGAAAAGATAAAATGTGAAATAAGGAAAAATGGAAAAAATTTTTTTGTAAATAGGGAAGGGTGAAGGGGGTGAAGGGAGGGCAGGGGTATGGGGAAAAAATGAGAACCAAGACCTGTCATGTAAAGGTACGAGATCCCAATGATGAATGTAACTGTACTGTATACCCAAAATGTACCAATAAACTCAATGAGAAAAAATATATAAATAAACAAATAAAGGTACAAGATCCTAATGACAAATGTAATTGTATTGTTTGCTTTAAATGTACCAATAAATTTAATGAAAAAAAGGAGAAAAACCAGGACTGAGAAGTTAAGAAATAGCTAGTATTTTCAGAATAAAATGACAGAGAAACTATAGAAAAGAGAGACAACAGGAAAACTGTCACTATGGAGAGACAGAATCCCCAGCCCAGTTAAAAGCCAGTCATCTGCACACCCTCAAAACTGGGGCCAACAAGGAAGGACACATCATGGAAATGAACCAGGGCACAAGGAACAAGGTAAGGACACGGGACAGGGGATGGAATCTAGACTCTTGTAGCAGCAATGGGAGCTTGGATGGGGAGCCAGACCCTTGGCATGTGGCAGGAGCAATATTCCCAGTGACCTTCCATCCAGCCTTGGGGCCAGCTGCGCACATGTGGGGTCTCATAGCTGACCTCACTCATTCCATAAGGAAACTGTTCCAAGCAAGGAGGCAATGGTGACCGTGACCCCCCACCCTGGAGACGTAAAGAGCAGCACAGCACAAGCCCCAAGATGGATAGGTACATAGGGACTCACAGGGAAGAAAATATCCTGATAGGAATTTGCTTTAAATTGAAGTAAAATTCATGTAACATGGAATTAACCATTTTAAAATGCCTATTTCAGGGGCATTCACACTGCTGTGTCACTGTCTTACCTAGTTCTGGAGCATCTCATTCTAAAAAGGAACTCCCCCCATAGGCAGTCGTTTCACACCTGTAGCCCCTCCCCAGGCCCAAAAATCATTAATCTTTTTCCTGCCTCTGTGAATTCATCCCTTCAGTAGACCCCTACCACACATGGCCTATGTGTCTGGCTTCATCCACCCACTCAGTGTGGGTGGAAGTTGGAGAAGGACAGGGAGTTGCTAGGGTAACCTCACGTGAAGGAAATGCAGATGCCCTCCCACTCTTGAGTGGTGCCTTGAACCCCTGTCTGCCCCTGTAATAGGGCAACCTGTCCAGGAACTGCCCATGTGAACCTGCCACCCTTGCTGCCCCTACACTGATTTCAAGGATCCCAGATTTTTACACACAGCTGATAGAATCCAGCTAATGGCTGATGAGACCTCAGCATTTTTATGGAGATCCACGCTCCAAGGCAGGGCCTTCCATAGTTTTATCTGCATAATCTTTTTAAAAATTAATTAAGTTTTTTGGTACAATTTAGGTATCCATAATCATCACACATTCATCATAGGGAATTTGTATCTGTACATGATATATCTGGACTCTTCTTTTTTTTCCCATTCCCCTCTCTGCCCTTGAACCCCTCTTCCCCTCCTTGTTTACAAAAGCTTTGTTTCCATTTTATCATTCTCATCTGCATAGTCTTGAGCCTGACAATTTTGCACTGGTATTTACACAGGCTTCCTGTGAAATGATCACCAGTTGCTGCTTTTCTTTTCTCCAGAGAAGAATAACAATGATTAGCTCGGCTGACCTGGAGCCTTCCTTGAACTTTCAGAATTGAAGCACCTGTGAGTATTAATTCTACTTGAATTGCCTCAGAAGTTTTGTTTCTCTTGACATCTTCCCTGGGGGGGGGGCTTTGAGGTGTCACCAAGCAAAAATAATGTTAAGTACTCTGGGAAAAGAGCACAGTGCTACTTGGATTTTTACATTCTTTATTTCTGCTTTGTTTGTGGTTTTATCTAGGTACACATTTGGTATACTCTATTTTCAAATTACTTTTATAGGATGTTTTAAAAGTATCATTTTTGCCTTGGAGCAAAAACAAAGAGAACACCTGTTAAAAAGTACCAATAAAGTAGATGTATTGGTGCACCCTGAGAATTTTCCATAGTTAATGGATTTTAACAGCCTGGCTGTAGGAATCATTTCTGAGTTAGGTCTAAACCACTTACATGTGGAACATGACCATGACCAGCTAGAATATTTTCCAGAGCACAGTGGAGGACTGACAGTGCCGCAGAAGAGACAGCAAGAACACAGGGGCATGAATGTGAGGGCAGTAGGTTGATATGCATTACACATGCCAAGGCATCAGGCCCCCAGCATCTAACATGAGTACCTGAGGCTTCCTTGTGGTGGGCTTGTGGCTGGCTCCAGCTCTGGGAAGGAAGGCTGTGCCAGTAAGACAGGGACCGTAAATGTGGCACAGGCTATGAGAGCAGCCAGGGTTCCCTATCACTAGTCCTCTACCCTTGCCCTGTAATGCACGGACAGTCCACAGGGACACCCAACCTGGTAGGCAGAGAGGCTAGGAGCAGCCCCCCAAATCCCTTTCCCCAAATTCCACAGGGTGATATGGAGGAGACAGAGTGGCTGCAAAGAGCAGTGCCCACTTAGAGGGCCTGCTGCCCACCCCCACTGTCACGCGGACTTACCAATCAAAACTGAAGGTCCTGCCAAGGGCTCCTCCAATCACTTTCTTTTTTATTATTAAGTTTATTGGTACTTTTCAGGTGTACAGTATACTTTCATTCATCACTGGGATCTTGTACCTTACATGATGTGTATTGTTTCTTACTTTTCCCCATTCACCTGCCCTCCTTTTACCCCCACCACCCTTCCTTATTTACAAAGACTTTTTTTCCATTTTTTTTTCTTTTCTCATATTTTTTTCTTTTCCCTTCTTTCCTTTCCCCTACCCTTCCTATTTCCCTTACTCCTTTAGCCCCTTTCTTCCTATTTCACATTATCAGGAACACAATTTGAACCTATTTACACTTTTAGTTTTTCACACCAGAGAAACTACTCGGTATTTACACACGTGTGTCCTATTTATTTCACTTAAGCGTATGGCCTCAAAAGAAATAAGGGACAAGAAAAGATATAAGAAAAGGAAAAAATGGAAACAAAGTCTGTGTAAATAAGGGAAGGTGGAGTGGGTGAAGGGAGGGCAGGGGTATGGGGAAAAAATGAGAACCAAGACCTGTCGTGTAAAGGTACAAGATCCCAATGATGAATAAGGCTGTACTGTATCTTAGAAAGTACCAATAAACTCAATAAGATACAAAAAAGAGTATGGCCTCTACGTGCATCCATTTAGCTATAAATGTCTCTAGTTTCTCCTTCTTTATGGCTGAATAGTGCTCCATTTTATAGAAAAACCACATCTTCAAAAATATGGAACGCTTCACGAATTTGTGTGTCATCCTTGCCCAGGGGTCATTCTAATCTTCTCTGTAATGTTCCGATTTTAGTATGTGTGCTGCCAAAGCAAGCACTCCCATCACTTTCTAATCAGATCCCTATCTCATAGGATAGTGAACAGGACAGGGACTAAGGTGTGGAGATATCAAAAGTATATTCCTGGCCCTGACTATCTCATGCCTTGGCTGCCCTGCTGGCTGGTGGCTGGGCACCCTGCTTACCTGCAGGGTCTGCACAGCACAGTTACTCCACCTACACCTCCCAGCAGGTGCGTGTGGGCTCTTGGCAGGCCTGCTCCAGCTCTGTACCACACCAAGAACCCCCACCACATCTACCTGCGAGGGACCCCAAGGCAGCTGTTCTCACACCTGAGTGTGGTTTGGAGCCAGAAGATCCACATCCAGGGACTACCTCCACATTGAGTGTTAGGCAGGCCTGGACCCCTTCTCCACCAGAACCAGGCTACAGCCAATGTCCAATGGTTTCTGGTAGATCCAAGATGTTTGTCAGAATGGGAGCTGGTGGTGTCTTATCAGGGGGAAGGTTGCCATCTGTGCTGGGGTTTCTGGAGCAGAGATGCACAGGTGTTTCACTCTGGCCTCTTTCTGACACCCCCCCCCATATTTTATTGTGTGGTTCTTCGTTGTTGTCATCATTATGTTCTTTTGCCTTTGATAAACAAAAGATGGTATCTGTTGGAGGCTTGTATGAAGTGGGAATTACTCTGGCCCCACGTAATGCAACTAAAAAGTGGCAAAGATTCTGGCTGTCCTTGTACTTTCCACAGGGAACATTCTGAGAATAGGATGGGCTACCTGGTTGTACCCCAGACTCACCAACCATGTTCTCAAATCAAATCTCCCTTTAAAACACACCTCACACCCAGGCAGTGTCCGAGACTGGGCTGCAGTTTTGCAGAGTTTTCTCTATAGAGGAACCTCCGTAAAAACTGAGGTGAGACCAGGGCCTGGATGTCTGTCTATGAACCTGTGGTGCTGAGGGGTTCAAAGAAACATGAAATACAATGACAGAGAGGAAAGTAAAGACTGACCATAACTAATGACAGACGCAGGTCAGGATCTTAGCGCAGTCAGATTGTTAGTTTCAACTCAAAAGAAAAACATCTTATGTCTTAAACACATTTTAAGTCTGATATTTTATATTTAATGAAAATAATGCATAATTGAGTAATTAGTTTGTAGCCACTGCTAAAATAGGTCATAATTGCTACTAGGATGCCCACAGTTCTTTGTGTCCAATAGTCATACAGAGGCTATAGTTTCCTGAATGCACCAGGTCTCTCTGATGACTCTTGTGTGTGTGGCCCATGGCTTCATTCTTCCTGAGCTGGGAACCAGGTTCCCTTGCCTCCTGGTGAGATGAGGGTTAAAGTCAGTCCTGCACCACGGCAGGGAGGCTTAATTTAGTAGGAGCTACAGTTCTCAGTGTACTCACGCTAATTGCACTCAGAGCAAGCATAGCCAGGTGACATTATGCATGCTGTGAGAGCTGCCGAGCTGGAGTGTTCCCCAATTCAGCCACTGCTATTCCTTTATAATTATTTATTTTTAGTTAAACATGCATGTAGCTCAAAATGTGAAAGAAAATCCCAGTGGTCAGCTTCTTATCTGTGTAACCAGTGATGTACACAGGAAGAGAGTCAGATGGAGAGATTGCCTGGTCTTCACCTACCTACCCACCCTGGCTGCCCAAAGTCAAGTGACGCTTTGCCCAAAGGCTCTCTGAAATTGGCCAAATAAGATTGCAACAGGGTATGATCACTCTTGAGAGTCTGCTGGATGTCTCCCACTGGACTGGACTCACTGGGCAGTATAGCCTCATTACGATATGGAACTGCAGGGTAGAAGGCTCGCAGCTGGGTCCTAGGGCAGGTCTGCTCACCCTTAAAGCCAAATGTCCTTCATTGCAGGTGGTCTGGGTAGCAAGACATCTGCAGACATGTACAGCATGTGTTCTCTGGCATGGTAAGTTGCTGCTGTATGTAAGACATGGGTTCCCACTCTTTGTGAGGCCCTTGGGTGGCGCCTAACAGGAGGAGTTTCAGGTGTCTTCATAGAGTTAAAAAAATTTTTAAAAAGTTTGTTGGGTTTTCAAAATCACCTTATTTAAAAAAGGATTTAGGGCAGCTGTTGAAGAAACAGGAACAAAAAAAATGAGAAAGGAGAGCTGTTATGGTCTTTTAAATTAAATTTATTGGCACATTTTAGGTATACAATATAATGACATTCATCACTGGAAATTTATACCTCTACATAATATATCTTGATTCTTATTTTTCCCCATTCCCCTGCCCTCCCTTCAACCCTTCTACCCCTTCCTATTTACAAAGACTTTGTTTCCACTTTCTCCTTTTCTCATATTGTCCATTCCCTTCTTTTCTTTCCCCTACTCTTCCCATTTCCCCTTCCCCTCTGGACCTTTTCTTCCTACTCCACATTATCTGTTATGCCTTTTGATCCTGATTTATACTTTCAGTTTCTCACACCATAGAAACTATTTGTTATTTACATATGTCTGTTCTCTTTATTTCACCTGAGTATCGCTGCAACGTGCATCCATTGAGCTATAAATGTCTCTAATTTCTCATTCTTTATGGCTGAGTAGTACTCCATTTTTTTTTAACCCACGTTTTCTTTATCCAGTCTCCAGTTGATGGGCAATTGGGCTGCTTCCAAATTTTAGCTACTACAGACTATGAACATGGGTGCACATATGTTGCTGTGGTATGATTCTTTTTAATTCTTTTGGGAAGATACCCAGCAGGGAAATAGCTGGGTCAAATGTGACCTCTAATAGTAGTTCTTTGAGGTGTCTCCATACTGATTTCCACAGTGGTTGCACCAGTCTACACTCACACAAACAGTGGAGCAGGATTCCTTTTTTCCCGTAGCCCCCCCAGCAATCGTTATTTGGTTGATTTCATGATAGTAACCATTCTTTCTGGGGCGAGGTGGAATCTCAGCATTGTTTTCATTTGCATCTCTCGAATTCCCAATGATGTTGAACATTTTTCCATGTTTATTTGCTATTTTTATTTTTTGTCTTTATTTCAGGTGCCCATTTTTGGATTGGGTCTTTAAATTTGGGAGGTCAAGGGGGTGAAGGGAGGGCAGAGGTAAGGGGAAAAAATGAGAATCAAGACTTGCCATGTAAAGGTACATGATCCCAACAATGAATGTAACTGTACTGTATCCCTAAAATGTATCAATAAACTCAATAAAATTAAAAAAAAATAAAAATAAATAAATTTGGGAGGTCTGATTTTTTAAAGTTCTATATGTATTCTAGATAGTGGACCTTTGTCTGAGGAACAACTGGTGAAAAATTCTTCCCACAATTGTGGGTTGTCTGTTCACACTGGTAGTTTCTCTTGCTGTGCAGAAGCTTTCTCATAAGAAGAGATCCCACTTGTTGATTCTCTGTGCAAGTTCATGGGCAACTGAGGTTTGGTTCATAAAATCTTTTCCTACACCAGTGTCTTCAAGAGTTCTACCCAACTTCTCTTCCAGCTGGTTTAGTGTTTCTGTTTTGATATTTAGATCTTTAATCAATTTTTATTTCAGTTTAGTGCATGGTGAGAGATATAGGACTAGTCTTAATCTTTGGCAAGTTGAAACCCAATTTTTCCAGCACCATTTATTAAAGAGGCTATCTTTCCTACAGTGAGGGTGTTTGACTCTTTTGTCAAAGATAAGGTGGCTAAGTGAGTCTGGAGTTGTTTTTGATCCTCAGGTCTGTTTCTTTGCCAGTACCATGCTGTTTCATCACAGTAGCTTTGTAGTATAGTTTCAACTTGGGAATTGTGATGTCACTACCTTTATTGCCTAGAATTTCTTTTGCTATTCTAGGTCTCTGTTCCAAATGAAATTTTGGATTGTTTTCTCAAGGCCTGTGAAGTATGAAGCTGGAATTTCTATTGGGATTGCATTAAATCTATATAGCAGTTCTGGAAGTATGGCCATTTTTACTACATTGGCTCTTCCCACCCAGGAGCAAGGGGTGTCTTTCTACTTTCTGATATCCTCTTCCATCTCTTTTTTCAGAGTGCTATAGTTTTCAGAGTAGATGTCTTTGATTTCTTTCATTAGGTTGATTCCTAGGTATTTCACTTTTGGGAGATGCTATCATAAAGGGAGTTGTTTCTCCAGTTCCTCTTTCAGTAAGTCTGTTGTTCATGCACAGGAAAGCTATTGATTTTTGTGTGTTGATCTTGTACCCAGCTACTCTACTGAATTTGGTTGTTAAGTCTAGAAGATTTTTGGAGGAGTTCTTGGGGTGTTCTATATAGAGTATCATATTGTCTACAAATAATGCCAATTTAACTTCTTTGTTTCCTATCTTTGTTCCTTTTATTTCTTTTTCATGTCCATTGCTATGGCTAATGTTTCCAAAAATATATTGAACAGGAGTGGTGATAGTGGACATATTTGTCTTATTCCTGGTTTTAGTGTGAAGAATTTCAGTTTTTGACCACTTAGTATGATATTGGCTGTTGGTTTTTCGTAGATGGCTTTTATCAGATTGAGGTAGAGACCATCTATTCAAATTGTCTATAGGGTTTTTATCATGAATGTGTGTTGGATTTGTTAAACACTTTTTCTGTATCTATTGAGATGATCATATGCGTTTTGTCCTTGGCTCTATTCATATCATGTATTACACTTATTGATTTGCATATGTTGAATCATCCCTGCACCCCAGGATGAATCTCACTTGATCCAGGTGTATGATCTTCTTGATGATCTCAATTCTGTTTGCCAGTATCTTGCTGAGGAATTTTACATCTATGCTCATTAGTGAGATTGGCCTATAGTTCCTTTAGTTCCTTTTTTTTGTTTTGTTTTGTTTTGTTTTGTTTTGTTTTTGGTTGAGTCTTTCTTTGCTTTTGGGATCAAGGTGATGCTTGCTTACAGGAATGGATTTGGGAGTATTGCTTCCCTTTCAATTTCACTGAAGAGTTTAAACAGTAGTGACAATAGTTCTTCTCTGAATGTCTTATAGAATTCAGCAGTGAAGCCATCAGGACCAAGTCTTTTCTTAGTTGGTAAGTCTTTAATTACATTTCAGTTTTGTTGATTAATATTGTGCTGTTTAGAATTTTTAGATCATCTTTGTTCAACTTTGGTAATTCATATGTATCGAGGAATTTGTTCATTTCTTCTGTGTTTTCCATATTATTGGCATATAAGTTCTCAAAGTAGGTATTGATGATCCTCTGTATTTCTTCTGGGTCTGATGGAATTTTACTCTTTTCATTTCTAATTGCATGGATTTGGATCTTTTCTTTCCTTTTTTGATATGGTTGGCTGAGGTTTTGTTTATTGTTTCAAAGAACCAACTCTTTGATTCATTGATTTGTTCTGTATCATTCTTTTAGCCTCCATTGCATTGATTTCTGCTCTAATCTTTATAATTTCCTCCCTTGTATGAGCTTTGCATTTGTCCTGCTCTTTTTTTTTTTTCTTTTCTTTTTTAGGTACCAGGGCTTGAACTCAGGTTCTTGTGCTTTCAAGGTAGGTGGCAGAACCACTGAGCTAAATCCCCAGCCCACCACTCTTCTTTTTCTATAGGTTTGAGGTTTAGAATCAGGTTGTTTATTTGAGCTGGCTGTTTTCCTAATATGAGTATTCACTGCTATGAAATTGCCTCATAAGACTGCTTTCATTGTGTCTTATGGTTTATATCTAGCTGTCCCCAATAAACCTCACACATTCATAAGTGGGGCTTTTGGGAACTGACTGGAGTATCATGAAGGTATTATACTCATCAGTCCACTGAGAAGTGTATAGCTAAATGTGATTGGGAAAGTAAAGCCTAGGTAGAAGAGGTGGGTCAGTGAGGCCAGCTCCCTCCCTCCTTCCTTGATCTCTCTCTCTCTGCTTGGACCAATTGACTATGGACTGAAACCTCTATAAACTGTGATTCAAAATAAGCCTTTCTGAATGGTTGCTATCATGAAATCCACAAACAACAATTGCTGGTGGGGCTGTGGGAAAAAGGAATCCTGCTCCACTGTTTGTGTGAGTGTAGACTGGTGCGACCACCGTGGAAATCAGTATGGAGACACCTCAAAGAACTACTACTAGAGGTCGCATTTGACCCCGCTATTTCCCTGCTGGGTGTCTTCCCAAAAGAATTAAAAAGAATCATACCACAGCAACATATGTGCACCCATGTTCATAGTCTGTAGTAGCTAAAATTTGGAAGCAGCCCAATTGCCCATCAACTGGAGACTGGATAAAGAAAACATGGGTTAAAAAAATGGAGTACTACTCAGCCATAAATGAGAAATTAGAGACATTTATAACTCAATGGATGCACTTTGCAGTGATACTCAGGTGAAATAAAGAGAACAGACATATGTAAATAACAAATAGTTTCTATGGTGTGAGAAACTGAAAGTATAAATCAGGATCAAAAGGCATAACAGATAATGTGGAGTAGGAAGAAAGGTCCAAAGGGGAAGGGGAAATGGGAAGAGTAGGGGAAAGAAAAGAAGGGAATGGACTTAATATGAGAAAAGGAGAAAGTGGAAACAAAGTCTTTGTAAATAGGAAGGGGTAGAAGGGTTGAAGGAAGGGCAGGGGAGTGGGGAAAAATAAGAATCAAGATATATTATGTAGAGGTATAAATTTCCATTGATCAGTGGGGAGTTGTGGCACACACCCGTAATCCCAGCACTCAGGAGGCTGAGGCAGGAGGATCACTGAGACTTCGAGCCTTAGCTACATAATGAGTTCCAAGTCAGCCTCAACTACATAGTGAGAAGGGTCTCAAAAAAAATTTCTTTTCCAGTGATGAATGTCATGATATTGTATAACTAAAATGTACCAATAAAATTAATAAAAATATAAGCCTTTCCTTCTTTAATTTGTGGGTGTCAGGTATTATATCCCAGAGATAAGAAGTAAGACAGAAGCCAAAGAAGAGGCGCATAGGTCTCCTGGTGGCCCTGTGTCATGTGTAACATCACTGAAGTAGCAAAGCCATCTCCCCAGCAGCCAGCTGTCACATATAGGTAGCTTTGTAGATGAGATGTTGACCACTATGGTGTCCCCCAGTTCCAATCTCAGTCCAGACCTGCATAATTGGCAGAGTTATTTGAGCTGTGCCCAGCCCGCTGGCTGAGGCCTCCTTCCTGTCCATCCTGATAGGTCCTGCATTGAGCTCTACTGTAGGTGTGGAGGGACTGGGCTTAAATGGGGCCAGCTGCATGGCTTCCCTCTGTGATGAGCCAAGAGATCTATGCTATGTGTGTTCCATGGGAGCACTGACCTAAGTGGTCACAAGAAGTGAGCCATATGGCCCTGCACAGACTGTGGTGCCCATAGCCATGTTCTCCAAGACCTTGGGGCAATACTCAGTCATGTGCTTAGTCACCTTCCAGCCAGGATGTGGTTGTGTCAAACCCTGCAGGCCGGGTGTACATAAGATGACACAGGAGTCAGGGACCTGAGTCTCAGGTGTAGCTGCTCTGGCTAAAGCCAGGAGCCCATGTGGAGTGAGACATAGCAGTAGATCCAGAAGGCCAGCTGTGAGCTTGCTGGGCAGTGTGTGTTGCAGCTCAGGATGCAGGATGGGGCAGCACAGCTCTTCTTCTGGAATAGAAATACAGCCAGCAGCTTCTGGGTCAGTGGCTGCTACCCATCAACAGCGTGTGGCCAGGTAGCAGTGGCTGTTCTGTGGGTGGGAGAAGCCACACCTGAGCCCTGGTATCCCATTGGCAAAGTAGGTTGCCTCTGCTTGAACTGAGAACTCCAAATTTTTTTCCTTTAAGACCACATGTTAGTATTCTTATTGCTGTTATTTTTATATCCAGGCTGAGTTTCATAAACTTTGAGGGAAAACAATGCTAAAGTGTGAAAGAGACAAAAGGGATCAGGGTGCATCAGACTCAGGGAAAGAAGGTGTAGCCCCCACACTGTCCTGCAGCCTCCAACCTCTGGACTTGGGGCCTCTTTGAGTCCAGGGCCTACTGCACTGAAAAGCTGGGTGGGGCCAGGCTTGGCACCCCCCCCCAAGGGAAACATCCTTATCATGCCCAGAAATCCACAGATGCCTTGATTTTACATGGTACATATGAGCCATAAACCTGCTAGGGTTTTCCTCTGGGTTAGAAACACCAGCAGAGCACATGTCTATCAAGTAGCCACAGCCATCACATTGGAACACATCCAGGAGGGAGCACTACTATGAAAAATCACCATGAATTGCTCTGTAGGTTGCCTCTCAGAGTGATTCAAATTTAAATATTCTCAAACAAGTTTCCTAAAGCTTTATGAGAAAAATACTCTTAACTGCCTACAAAACAAAAATGAATAGCCCATCAGGCTAGTACAGTGATGGCGAGCCTTTTAGAGACTGAGTGCCCAAACTGCAATCCAAAACCCACTTATTTATCACAAAGTGTCAACACTACAATTAAACCTGGATGATCGGCTACTGGGCTGATGCTGGGGGGACTTGGCTCATGTGCCAACAGAGAGGGTTCTGCATGCCCACTGCAGCACACAGGCCATAGATTTGACCACTGGGCTAGTACAAAGACTTGCTGATATTTATATGAACACAGGCCAGTGCTAAGAGAATGAGCGAGACTCTCCAGAGCTGAAGAATGTCCTCTGAACAGGGGTGTTCAGGAAGATAGGCCTCAGAAAGTGAGGGCTGCCATGTGAGGTAGCCAAGGACCATGTGGATTCCATACTGATAGCTCCTGACATGAGCTGTCACTATGGCTCTGTTTACCTAGGAGAATCTGCTGCACACCAGGCGCTTACAGTCTTATGCTGTCTTGACCAAAGGATACCCTGGCTCTCTGGTATTCCTTCTGTGCAGTGACTCACAGCTCAGAATCACCATAGGTTTGGGTCTGGCTTGATGGCCTGGACATTCAGGCTGGGGATGGGTCCTTGTTTTCAGAAGGCAGACAGTCCCCATGGTCATTGGTATCTACAGTGATCTACAAGAAACACGCCTTGAAGGGAATGCCTGTATGTCTGTGAGTTGGGATTGTACAACATAATTTCTCCTAACAAGAATCCAGTACTTCCTTCCAAATGAGGGCCACATCTCCCCTTCATTGCTCTGATTATTGAGTCATTACCATGGGCCCTTTGTGACTTTGGTGCCATGTTGAGGACATCATCTCCGTGTATCTTAGGTCTCCACTCCCATGGATGTACTTCCCACCAGACTGCTGCAAGGGTGTGGTATTGTGAGCTGCTCAGGTGGGTCCTGCAGAGCCAGGGTGCAGTGTGTCCTCAGGGTGGGTGGTCTGCTCAGAGGGAGTGATGGTCCAGACATGCTCAGATATTCTCTGAGCATCCCCTACAACATGGAAAGCACTGATATCAGTACAACAGGACAGAAAGCCACTGCTCATTCTTCGCTTGAGGTCTCCCAGGGTCACCTCAAAATGATAGCCCTGCTGGTTACACTCTCCTTCCCTGAGCACTGGAAGACGCCAGCAGCTCTACTATAGCAGCTCAGACAGAGATGAAGAATCAGGGAGAGGAGCAGCTTGTCAATGAAGATAGAAAGCCACAGGTGAGAAGCAAGAAAGATGACTGGGAACAATCAAGATTTCTGGGCAAAGACAGAAAGATGTTTGTAGAGACTGAAGGCGCAGGCCACAGTGGGACGTTGGCCCACTCCCCACAGGTCTTTACACATGTGGGGCAAATAGATTCCATATTTGGTGACAGAGACTCAGTGGGAAGAAGCTACTCTGTAGTAACATGGAAAAGGTGCTGGTTGTGGGCACCCTTGGATTAGGTAGGGTAGGGTGGAAATCATGAGAGTGCAAAGGACTCTGGAAGGGACATAAAACACTGAAAGGGGCAAAGAATGCTGGGAGGGGACAAAGCAAGGCAGGAACCCCAGTAGGAAAATGGCCGTCTAGCTCCCTTCTAACACCCGCCTGTGCCTCAGACAGTCAGGGGTGATTGCCACCGTCCTGGAAGCGGCTCCCTTGGGAACCCGTACCCATGTATAGTCATAGTTTCATCTTTCCTTGGGGACTTCCACATTCACACCACAGGAAACGGGGAGCCTGTCAGAAGTGAGCCCACTTGGCCAGAGATAAAGCAATGCCACTCCCCCCAGAGGCTGGAAAAACACTCTCTGTGGAGACACCTGAAGGTTAGGAGCAACGTTTAGAAGCATTTCTCACCCCAGAGGAGAGACACCCTGGGTGTTGTGCAGAACTTTCTTCAGACTTCAGAATCCGCTCATCTAGCAAAGCAAACTCTTTTTGTAGCCTCTGGGCCTACAAATACAACTGTTTGTTTTACCTGTCCAGGCCCTGAAGTTTTGATCCAAGACAGCATTTCTACTTGATCCTCTTTGTAGAATAAAGGCAGTGGTAAAATCATCTCCTTGGAATCCTGTGGCCTTTTTACCTAAACAGAATGTGGGAAACGACTCACCTGGTGTCATACCCATGCTGACTTAGTGGTGGACAGATTCTGAACATCCCAAGCTCTGACTCAGACGTTTTCTTCAAAAACCTGTTGCCACCTTCAAAAAAACCCAAGTTATCCAAAGAGTGGTCCTCTCAGAGATTTTTCTATGCTCTGAACCTGCTATTCTTCAATCTCAAGAATTTATGGCTTATTTATTAAAGTCAAATTAGCCTGAGAACCTTGGAGGGCTGGTGAAATCCAGCCCCAGCCCCAACCCCAACCCCAGCCCCATCCAGCTTTGGCTTTAGGCAGAACCAGGAGTCTATATCTCTCACAAGTCCCCAGGTAACACTGAGGCTGCTGGTCAAGGACCCACTTTGAGAATCCCAGTACTTCCCCACACCTCTTTCTTCTGACCTCACACATCCCTCTCCATCACTCCTCCACCCCACATCACTACCACTTCTATCCACTGAGAGAGTACAGCCTCAAGCTGCCTAGCATTTAGGGAGGTCGATCCCTGTCAATCCTCAGAGGTCACCTGTTAATTTAGCATGTGAACTTCTACACTGACAGGTATTTTCAACAAAAAGACTAAAAGTGGCTGAGGGTCAAGAACCTGTTGTCTGAGCCCTCAGTTCTTCTAAAAGGGCCTGGTGGGATTTAACTGCTGGAATGTTGTCATACTTGGAGAGCACAGCCAGGAAAAGGAAAAGAGGGAGCTCTGTTAAAGCTACATTTTGAATGAACATAAGTACTTATACCAAAAATATGTTGTTTGACATTGAAACTTCGTTGACTATCACCTATTTTTATCTGTTAACTCTGGCAATTTTTTTTTTGCAACATTCTCTAGAGTAGGAAGGCAGGGAATGCCTGGGGCAGCTGTCCAGTTTTTATAGATAAGAGAACTAGAAGTAAAAAGGAAGTGACTTGTCTGTGGTCTCACATTTCTCTGCAGTCCCAGGACCCATCCTCACATGGCCGTGGTTTGTCACATGGCTGAGTTCTCTGAAGAATCCTCTAATAACCTCTAACCCATGCCCAGGATGCACACTTTGCCATTTCTTCTTCTTCACTGGGATAAAGGAAAAGCATCTTTGCTCCAAATGACCTGATTCTGAGGCCACCTAGAGCTTTTCAGAAAAACCCCAAGCTGACATCAAGAGCCCTGGAAGGTTCTGGCCCCTGTTGTTCAGTGCAGGTGGCCCACAATGTTTGATATGACTCTGAGAAGTTTATATCACTGGAGTCTTGCCATCAATGGACAATCCACTATAAATGTGCTCCTTCCTTCAAAGCAGAGCAAAAAAAAGAAGAGCCCTGATTCCCTGTCCTGTCCTGGCATCAAACCAGAAGTGTCTGTCCTGCCTGAAAAGAGACAGCTTGGCAAAAGCTAAGACTGACTCTCAGCAGGTCTTGGTTACCACTGTTCTCTCACTAATTCTAAATATCTTCTGCCTGGTAACATGACTCAGAGGTTAGGACTTGAGCTGAATTTCTTCTGCAGCCAGGGGCAGGCTCTAAGTGCCTGAAAAAGGAAAGCAACAGAAACATCAACCTTTTTATGCCTTTAACATGATGAAAATATGAGTACCTACTATTCTAAAGCAGTTTCTGTTCTTAGAGGAACACCTGCTGAGCTAATGCTCCGTACAACCATTTCCCAGACATTTGGACATGCTTGGGAGCAGCTCTCCTAAGGCTCCCCTGTTTAGGCCTGATGCTTTGACTCATGGGAAAGTTTGCCTTCTGAGCAGTGGTGGCACTCTTAACTCCAGAGCCACTGTCATAGGGGAAAGATTCTCCCAATTGCTGCTCATAGTGGTGGACCTGCTGAAGACCTACATCTGCAAATGCTTCTGATATTGCATTTTGAGCTCTGGTTCACTAAGCTTCTGTCTACTTTCAGGAAGTTTTCTAGAGAATTACTTCTCCAGCTTGATATATAGACTATTCTTAGAGCACTTGTCTTTGAAAGGTGTGGGTGTATGGCTGCTTTCAGGGAGGTTCCTAGCAAATTCCCTCCTATAAGGAACTCTGCAGAGCTGAGCCTCAGACCTGCTCCCAGTCCTACCCCTATCTCTGCCTGTCCTGGACAACACAGGAGAAAGGCTTCAGGAGGTAAGGTACAGACTGTGGGAAGGACATAAAAAGAGCATCAGGACCTTGTGTCCACTTTTCAGTCCCAGACAACAGCCCTGCCCAGGGCCCAATATGAGGGAGGCTGGTCACAGGGTGGGAACAATCCTGACCACATGTACCTTCCCCATCCCACAGCCCAGACACCATGAGCTCTGCTGGGCACTCATCCTCCCTGCACCTTGAGAACTAGGCAGAGTCACCTGGTATTCAACATGCAATATCCCATTTGGGGAAGCCGTGGGGACCCTGAGGATGAGGATGAATGCACTCAACCTGTGTGGTGCCTCTGGTCCCAGACAGGGAGCTGGCAGTAGCTGGCAACCTGGTGTCAGCTGCACAGACACTTCCCACCAAGTCAGTGCCCCTTAAACACTAACCAAGTCTCCATTTCAAGAAACTCAACTGGGCCCTTTAGAATTTTGCTACAGAGTCCACCATTGCCCAAGAGAAGCATTTGACCTGATCGATGTGTCTAGGTCCCTCTTTGGGCCTGTGCCACAAAGGCCAAAGTGAGATATATGGAGGCCATGGTGCCTGGAGTTCATTCTCTCTTCTCCACCTGCTAACTCTGATCTTGACAGCCATTGACACATAAGTCTCCAGCCTACCCACCTTCCCATCCCCTGTGTTATCACCTGCAATGTGTCCTGCACTGGGTGAAGAACACGACCATCCATCTTCATGGTGGGAACACCACCTGTACTTCTCAAGTGCCCTCATGAACTACACTTGAACCTCAGGAGTCCTCAGTTCATGAGAAGCATGTGCAATCGGCATGAAAGTTTGGGAAATTCAGAGAAATATTTGGGAAAGCCCTCACAGTCGGCTTCTTGAGAAACTAGGTTATTGCCACAGACAGATGTTAAAGCCTGAACATCATATAACTGAAGATGACACAGGCCCCAGTGCGCCCTCCCCTGATGGCTTGGCAGCAGAGGCACCTGGTTAAGGCCCAGAGGCCTTGCACCCCAAGAGTCCCCATCCTTTCCACATGTGAACAGTTCAGATGTTACTGTCCATCCCTGAAGTTCCCCCAGTGAGCTATGTGTGTGATTGTTATGGCTGTGTCTAGATGTCCCTCCAAAGCCTCATGCGGTCATAGGTGGGGCTTTTTCAGAGGTGGCTGATCTAGAGTGTGTGATGCTGGGATGATGGGTGCATGATTACTAAATTAGTCCACTGACTGGTTTGGCATCCGTTCTAAACCAGGTAGCCTAGATAGAATATAAGGGGTAGAAAGAAGCTGCTATTGTTTCTTGCTTTCTCTCTTCCTGGCTTCTGCTTCTGGTGAACTGTTTCTACTCTGCAATGCCTCTCTGCCATGCTACTCCACCTTGGAGCCAGTTGACTATGGATTGAAATCTAAATAAATAAACCTTTCCTTCTTTAACCTTGGGTTTTGGGAATTTCGTATCAGCAACAAAGAAAAGCAACTAAGCCAGTGACCTTTCCAGGTTATAGTAGCTGAAGGCAGAAGGGGTCTGCACTGTCAGTCTGGTTCCAGAAGAGAGACCAGGCCACAGGTAGAAGAAAGCCCTGGGGTACCCAGCAGAGTAGCGATGCAGGTCTGAGGTTAGAGAAAAGACAACCATACAATTGAGGACCTGTATGGGGATCTGGGTGGCAGTGGTATCTGGGCTCTGGTCCAGGAGAGTGTCAATCTCCTCCTGGTTATCACAGCCAGATGCTGCCCTGGGAAGCTGTGGCTCTCTAGAATGAGCATCAGAGCTGAGGATCCACAGACTTCCCCATCCTCGACCCCATTTCCAGACTTGGCCTTTATGAAGGCAGAGAAAAAACCAAGTGAGGGGCCAGAACGGGCCTACACACGGGGATGGACCAGCTTTAGGAAGGTCTGAAGCTGCTGATCACAGGAACCATAAAGGAGAAAGCCTAAGAGGCAAGGGGGATTCAGCAGGACTCTCAGAGCTCCTGGATCCACTGTATCCCAACTGGCCTAGTCATGGGTCACGTTGTAGGGAAACTGGGGGACAGGAGCCATAGCAAGTCAAGCTTTAGCAGATCAAGGTGGACAGGGACAGTGCAAGGGAGGAAGGACAGGAGTGTCTTCCTAGTTGGAGCCTGAGTCCTTCCATGTTGACCACCGGGGATGGGATGGTAGAGTTGGCATGGCCCCGGCCTTCCCCTGGGATTCTGACAGTCTTGAGTGAGCTTGAGGTCTGAAGCTCAATACAGGACCAGCCTCTGGGCACATGCACTATTAGCTTGGCCTCACTGAGTGAGGGTCTAAGTGGCTGGCAGGTTAGGATCTGAGATGGTGGGGCCTGTATGGGCCTCTTTCCTCCACTCACTCATCACATTCATCCTCCATTGCAGCAGCCTCTGTGAGGCAGAGTCACATGGAGAATCTGCATCATACTTAGCAGCAGGCTCCTGGGAGGGTGTACAGAACACGCAGAACTTCTGTGGAAATCCCCAGAGGGAGGAAGGCACCTCAGCACCAAGTGTTATCAATAGTGCCACTGCTAATAAGTGCTTATGGAAAAGTCAAAGCAGGGCATTTTTTCTAGTTAATTAAAACCCTGCATCTTTCAGCTGGGCCCTGTGTGGTTACACAACTGAGTCCCTTAGAGGGCTGAGAACAGCTGCTCCTGCCTTGTGATACTGAAGGAGTGACACCCAAGAGACCAGAGGAAGGGGCAGTATTAGGCATGCAAAGCATCTGGGTCCTCATTCTGGAGGATACAGGGATGCCAGGAGGGTGTCTGTAGCCAGGGACAAAAGTTCTTGGGTTTGCTTTGCACAAAAATGCAAAAATAAATAAATAAAAAGAAAGAAAAGAAAAGAGA